AAGTAAAGAATCCGCTTCTGACTGATATCTGTCTCTTGAAGTTCTGAAATTTTTTTCACTTTCTTATAAAGATAAGTCTGACAAGAATAAGGCAGTATCCCCTAATCTTTGGCAAAAAATTCTCCTAAAACAGAGTGGTATAAATTGGCTTTTTAAAAAGATCACTTGGCCACTTTGTGGATCAGAGAAAAACAAGAATGGTAGTGGGGATACCAGTCTTCAGATGACAGATAATGGTGGAAAACAGATGAATTTAAGAGACCTTTAGGAATTATAGGACTTGGTGATTAACTGGGTGTCAGGGGTAAAGAAGAGGAAGACTCAAAGATAACTGCCAGTTGTGGCTAGAGTTTTCCATAAGCCCTTAAGTAGGCATAAATGGAAAACCTCTAGGCTTTGCAGGACAGGCACTAATAAGGGAAGCTTGTCCTGGTGCTGGCACAATAAGTACTTGCCCATTACACTTGGGTATTATGTCCATCAATTATACCTGAGGGCCGTGACTCACTGAGCACACTGATGGGGACCAATAGAAAGCAATGTGTTCTACTTCAGTAACCTTCCCATCCGGAGAACATTTTACTTGACGTTGCCCTTATGCCCATCGTGCATTGGACGTGCCTTCATGAGATACAAGGGAATGGCCGTGACTCACTGAGCACACTGATGGGGACCAATAGAAAGCAATGTGTTCTACTTCAGTACCCTTCCCATCCGGAGAACATTTTACTTGACGTGGCCCTTATGCCCATCGTGCATTGGACGTGCCTTCATGAGATACAAGGGAACTGTATTGGTCCGTTTTGTGTTGCTATAACAGAAATACCTGAGACTGGGTAATTTACAAGGAAAAGAGGTTTATTTGACTTATGATTCTGGGACAGCTGCATCTAGCACAGGCCTCAAGCTGCTTCTACTCATGGCAGATAATGGCAGGCAGCCAGCAGGTACAAGCAGATCACATGGTGAGAGGAAGCAAGAGAGAAGAGAGGAGGTGCCAGGGTCTTTAAACAACCAGCTCTCACGGGAACTAATAGAGCAAGAACTCACTCATTAATCCCCCCTACCCCAGGGAGAGCATTAATCCATTTATGAGGGATCTGCCCCCATGACTCAATCAGTTTCCAACACTGCCACATTGGGGATCAAATTTCCACATGACTTTTGGTGGGGACACACATCCAAACTCTATCAGGAACCAATGGGAAGATGAGTCTACCTAGCTGCCTACTCATTTTCACTCTTTACACACCTGATTTACTGCTTTAGAAGTAAATCAAAGCAAAAGTAACTGAACTGAGTCCAGGTTGTCATTTGTATGCAACCTCAAAACTTAAATCAGTGAGTTTCTGGCTTGAGCAATTGACTATGTAGCTAGTGTTGCTGGTGTCTGAGATGGAAAACATAGTAGAGGAAGACTGGGCTTTTTTGTTGTTGTTGTAATTGCTGTTGTTGTAGTTATGGGGAAGGTAAAGAAAATAAGTTTAGTTTTGGATATTTTGACTTTGATACACCAAATGGAAATAGGAACTAGGTAGTTGTATATGTGGGTCTAGATCACAGAAGAGAGCTATGGGCTAAATATAAAAATTTGGGAGTCTTTGACTAAACAGATGGAAATTGAAATTATAGGCATGGATGAGATCACCTAGAGAGAGAGTACAGTTAGAAGAGAATAGGGCCAAGAACTGAACCTGAGAAAAACACATTTAATAGTTAAGGACAGTGAGTAGGCTGAGAAGACAGATGTATATACCAGAATAGGTAAGAGAAGCATGGTGTCTGAATACTAAGAGGAAGAATATTTTAAGGAGAGTGTGGTCAACAGCATCAAATGCTACTGAGAGTCATGTAAAATGAAAACGGAAAAGTGTCCATTGGATTTAGCAACCAGAGATGATTGATGGTGTTAGTGAAAGCTGTTTTGGTAGAATGGTCATGGCTAAACCCAGATATAGTTTTAGGAGTGTCTGGGAGGTGAGGAGAGGGCACAAAGTACAGACAATCCTTGAGAAATTTAACCTTGTAAGACAGATATTAAAAGGAACATTTCAGGAAGCCAGGAAAGAAGAATGAGCAAAGTAGTAGCAGTATACCTGTTGTTACGCAATTTAATTTCATAAACATTTGTTGATTGCATGAAGGGCACAGGGCAAAGAACTGAGTATTAACAGATGAGTAAGAAACCATCCCTCCCTCAAGGTGCTCAAAGTTTGATAAGGGAGAAAGAAACGAATAATTACTGTATAAAAAGTTCAATAATAGATGTATTAGATTTAGTTGTAGCATAGGTGGGAGTGGAGAGTATGTTTATTTACCAGGAAGGAGATCAGAGAAAATGTAGAAGTGACTCTTGAACTGAGTTATGAATTCATAAGTGTTTGCTAGGATGACTATGCAAAAGATATTCCAGGCAGAGGGAAAGGTATAGTTCATTGGAAGACTACATGTAGCCTTTAAAGAACATAAGTTCTTGGAATCACATTGCCTAGATTTAAATCCTGCCTCCATTATTATCAGCTCTGTGATCTTGTGTAATCACTTTAGCTTTGCAAAGCCACAGTTTCCTCACCTCTAAAATGAAGGCTGATAATTCCTATCTCATAGGATTTTAGGGAGGCTTAAAAGCTGTGAAGCACTGAATTTAGTAGCTGGCACACAATACTCAATACATGCTAACTCTATTTTTATTTATTTTTTTGTCCTTTTTGAGACCAGCCGCACCGCGCTCAGCCAGTGAGCGCTGTGAGCGCACAGGTCATCCCTATATAGGATCCGAACCCGCAGCGGGAGCGTCACTGCGCTCCCAGCGCTGCACTCTCCTGAGTGCGCCACGGGCTCGGCCCTGCTAACTCTTATTGTAGGAACTAAGATGCAAAAAGGGGGCAGGGTATGAAGCTAAAGAAGGTAATCAGGAGTCAGATAGTGATAGATTTCTCAGGAAAGTTAGCACTATTCCAAGGATTAATTAAAACAAACTAGTACAATTATTAGGAAACAAACTGAAGTCAGGTTTAATTCTTCTAAAAAAAAACCTTTCAGGAAGCATCTTAATTATAATCTGTTGAAGAAGCCTAGGGCAACAGGTATGTACAAGTACTTTATAGTCTACTAATTAGGAGGCTGAGATTACTAACCTCTAATTGTGCAATTTGCAAATATTTTTTACATTACAACATCTTGTAATACAATGCAATATTTTCCATTAAGATTGTTGCTAAACTTCAGTTTCTCTTTCAGTTTGTTTCTCTAATATTTTCTCTTTATAAGTTTCGTATTTAAAAAAAGCCAAAAACTGGTATTATGGTAATACTTTGATTTCACAGAAAAAGGTTTTTCAACCCTACCACCAAAACAACTAAAAACACTGATTGCAGAGTGTAGCCAACCTTCAGAATTTGGCAAAGTCATTATAAGGGTAGAGTCAGACGCCAGAAAAAGCTGCAGGTGGATCTAAGGAAATTTGCATGGGAACTGTTGCCTTTTGTTGTAGTTTGAGTAGATAAAGGTTTCTCTAATCCAAAAAGTCAGAGGTTTATCTTCTAGATTTTCATTTTGAGTAGTTTCCTTTTCTCTTTGGAAGAGTTCAACTTCTCACTTACATGAACAATATTTCTTCTGTAGAAGAAATTTTTGCCTTGAAAAGATAATTTTGGGTCACTACTGCTTGGAGTAGTTAATCTACCCTGTTGAGTATATTTGAAGTGAAAAAGATCATACTAATATCCTCATTTAGAAATTTTCCACTACTGATGAATCCGGTGGTATAATCTTTCCACCAGCATTGTTAACTCTGATTTAGTATTTGATACTGAGTATACTGTAAATGTTGGTTTTGATATTTGGTATGGAGTGATTTGTGTTATGTCCCGTGTGTGTCTCAATTTCCCTAATGTTCTGCTGATGGTCTGAGCCTATAGAAAATACCTTACTTTAGCACATTTGTGTATATATAATTGGGTAGATTCTTCAAGATGTTTAATGCTTTTCGTGTTTATTTCTTGTAGATGACAATATTTTCCCATGGTAGAAGGTCCTGAACTTCTGCCAGCACCGTAGGTCTTATCTAAGGCTTGTAGATAATAGGCACACTGAGATGATCCTGAGTGCAAGGCAAACTTTTTTCAAGCAGTGACTTTGCACTTCAAAGTGTCACCTCCCCCACCCCCCGCCCACAGTAACATCTGTGACACAGTACAAGTGCTTATGACTGAATCAAAAAGTTTCACGAAATAATACTTTTCCCGCTATCCGAGATGTGCCTGATATTTCTCACTCTATTTCATAGAAAACAAAAACTACCACGTGCACCAGTACCCTTTCCAAGTAGAAACCAGTTTAATTGGTCTTACCAACCACTAACGATTTAGTAAAGGCAGACTGAAAACGCTCCTTTAGCAGTCACCGCTGCTGTTTCTCCTGTCACAGCCCTTCCGAATGACGGCACACGACTCACAAAAGGCCCGCGGCTACGTCACGGAGCGGCACCTGCGCCTCGCTCTGAAAACGCTCCTTTAGCAGTCACCGCTGCTGTTTCTCCTGTCACAGCCCTTCCGAATGACTGCACACGACTCACAAAAGGCCCGCGGCTACGTCACGGAGCGGCACCTGCGCCTCGCTCCTGGAGGATGGAGCGCTTTCCTGCAGCCGAGCAGCAGCAACCACCCACTGCCCCAGCTCGGTGGATGATGCAGGACTCGACCTATTTCCCTGCCCTCCGGATTCCTCAAAAATCAGCCCCGCCCCCTCCACCTTTCCTTGGCCAATTTAACTTCTCCCCGCGGCAAGTGGAGAGAGCGCCGAATGATCGATGTTTCCTCCGCGCCCTCAGAGCCGCCATTTTGGGGGGCGGGGGAGGAGAAACACATGTAGGGACGCAGAGGCTCAACGGAATGCGGACTGGGCTTTGCTTCTCTTTCCAGCACTGTGGGGCCTGGGCAGAAGAACCCACTGGGACCCTTCCTCCGGCTGCCTCTCCGGCTGCCTCTCCGGAATGAGGCCTCAGCGCCCGCGTGGGACGGCCGCCTTTCTCTTAAGAGAGTGAGTGGCAGGTCTCGGCACGACGGCCCGGCCCCCGTGCGCGCCCCCGCTCGCCTGCCCTCCCTCCCTCCTTCCGCTGTCAGTTATCCCGCGCGACCCCGCCGGCGCGTGCCGCCCCCCGGCGCGCCCCCGTCCCGCCTCCGCCCGGCCGGGCGCTCGGCGCAGACTCGCTTGTTTGTTTCTGCAGGAGCCCAAGGGCGGGTTGAAGCCGAGACGATGCCTGGGAAGCTGAAGGTGAAAATCGTGGCCGGGCGCCATTTGCCAGTGATGGATCGTGCTAGTGACCTGACTGATGCCTTCGTGGAGGTTGGTGCAAGGTTCCGCCCCTCAAAACACAGGGAGCGCCAAGCCCTGGGAAGGATCTACCCACCTGGCCTCCAGCCCCTCCGCCCATTCCCCTTTCGACTGTTATCTCGTCTGCCGTGTTTGTCCAGTGCTCCCGCGAGGGATGACCGCCGAGCCCTCAGCCCGTGTGATGGGTGCACAGCTCGCGCTCCGCCTCGCGGGGAGGCTCTTACTGCTCTGCATGCTGGGGTGACCCCGATGTCAGGACGCGTAACAGGCCACCTGCCAGTCAGGAGATCCCTGAGCGTGGCCCCGCGGCTCCCGAAACGCGCACGCATGTCCTTCTTTAGGGGAGGGGTGGCTCTTCACGCCAGCGTGATGGACGTTAAGAATGTGTATGCAGTCCTCTGTGGGCATTTGGGTCCTACAGTGCGAGGAGATCCATTGTTTAGCCTAACATTTTATGAATCACTAATGTAAGTTCTAAAACACGGCTGTAACACTTTCCCTTCTTGTATAGACCGGTTGGGTCTGATGAGTTGTTTCAGGGTAATTTAGTGCCTTGAGGTAGGAAGTCTATTAAGTGACATTGATTTAAATTGCAAAATTGCTTTTTAAATCTAATGATTACTTTAAAAGTCATGCAAATTAGCACAGGCCTAGGGCCCCGTAAAGTAATAACCTAGAGTCTGAAAGAAGCCAAGTAAAAATTGTAGTAAAAATTGACCTGATGAGCCAGAGCATTAGAGCAGTAATCATTTGGGCTATTTATGTTTAGTGTTGATAGATACATGATTATATACAGCTTGATTTCATCTCCATATAAAATATTTTTCATGTTCCCTAAAGGTTCTGTAACCTAATAACTGCGGTTCACTGCCCCCCCACCAACATTGTCATAGTAATTCTTAATTGCAACTTCATTTGAGAAAATTGAGTGTGCTCTTAGCCAGATGTTATGTAATGGGGAGACACAGACAACCAAAGTATAGTACGTTCATTGGTTTAACAATGAAGATACGTTCTAAGAAGTCCTTTGTTGTGTGAACATCGTAGAGTGTACACACAAACCTGGATGGTAAAGCCTAGTACACACCTATAATATTATGAGACCACCATCATATATGTGGTCCCTTGACCAAAAAGTCGTTGTACAGCACTTGACTGCTTTGTTTTGAGGTAGCTCCTAGATTGACCCACACAGCTTATATTAACTACTAGTAGCTAACAGGTATTGAGGCTCATTATTGTCAGATCCGTGCTAAGTAATTTTTAATTCTTAGTCCTCACAACAGTCCTGCTATAGGAGTATTGTTATTATCGGATATTACGGATGAGGTAACTAAGGCCTAGGGACTGGTAAATAATTTGCCTAGGGTTATTCAGCTTGTAAACCTACACAGCCTGACAGTCTTAACCATTATGCTAATACAGCCTTTCCAACAAGACAAGGTGATGAATGTTGTATTTGGATATGAAAACTTAATTCTGTCTCTGAAGGTTTAGGACGGCTTCCTAAGAAAGTGGTATTTGAGCTGGGCTACGAAGGACACCCAGGATTTTACCAGGCAGAACATCAAAGGCAGTGGCACAGAATGGGATATATGGTATGTTCAGGAACCATCTTAGTTTGAGATGTGTCTACAGTGAAAGGGAGGGAATATGTGGGTAGTGGAGATTGTGGGAGATAAGGCTGGAAAGGTAGTTTGGAATCAATTCCCATTTTTTGTACTGTTTTTCCTTTATTCTATCAGCAGGCGTAAGCCAGGGGAGCTTTGCAAGCAGAAATAAAATAAGATGATGTGTGTATTAGGTTGTTTCTTTATAGGGTGACCTGACCTGCATGTTATTGGTGGAATGGACAGATGAGAGGTGAAACAGCTCAGTTAAGGTGGGAACATAATTCAGGCAATATGTGGGAATGGGAATGGATTAGAAGAGAAAGATTTGAAGGATATTTCTTAGGTTAAAATTGTAAGGCCTTGATAACTAAGTGGATTTTGCTGGTGAGAGAGGAGGTGGATTCAGGGTGACTCATTAATTCCTTTAATAAATTTGAGTAGTTATGGAGTGTCTGCTATTTGCCAGGCCCCATCACTGGTCTAGCTGATGTATATGATGGTGAACAAGACAGACTTGGTTCCTGCTTTTATGAAGCTTATATTTTGGTGGGAGAGACAGACATTTAAAAAGTAAATAAATGATTAAATACATAATTATGAATTGTGATGAGTGCCATGAAAGAGAACAACAGAAAGAGAATAACAGGGAACATCTACTTTAGGTGCAGTAATCAGGGGAAGCCTCTGAGAAAGTGTCAGGCAAGCAAACAGGCTGGATGAGGAGACAAGCTGCTCAGGAAGAGAGGGAGGGAGGGAGGGAGAGAGAGAGAGAGAGAGAGAGAGAGAGAATGAGAATGAATGTGTGTGTTTGAGGGGGAGGGTACAGAAGAGAAGCTGGACGAGAAGAGAGTCTCAGCAGAGGGAAGACCCTGAGGAGATTTGGTGTGTTTTAGGAAGTGAAGGAAGATAGATGTGTGGCTGGCATACAGTGGTGTAAGATAAAGTTGGAGAGTTAGTCAAGTAGCCAGTCGTGCAAGGCCTTACAGGCTATGATTAGTAGTTCGAATTTTATTCTAAATTCAATAGGAAGCAGTTGTTAAGATGAGCACTTTTGTTGCTATGTGGAGAATGGGTTGAAAGGGAAAGAGAAGAAGCAGGCAACTGGTTAGGAAATTCTGCAGTAGTTCAAATAACAGGTGATGTGGGTCAAGATGATGCCTTTGGTAATGGAGAGAAGTGGAGGAATTCCAGATATACTTAGAATTTAGACTTTGCAGGATTTGTTGGTAGATTGGAGTTGTGGGTCAGGGAAACAGAGATTAAAAGATGACTCCTAGCTTTCTGGAGTCATTGTGGTAATTTTCTGAGACTCCACAGGGATGATAGAGATTGAGGAGAATCAATTTCCATTTGGACAGGTTAGGTTTGAGATGCTTTAGGATTTTTAATTGCACTTGTCAAGGAGGCAATTGGATTTGCAGTTATGGTATTGAAAGGGGAGGTCTGAATTTAAAATGAGCTCACACAGCTAGTGTTTCTCAACCCTTTGAGACCAAGTATCCTTTTTATATAGAATGTATTTGAAATCTACCCTTTATTATCCTGGCATGGTATACATAGTTAATATAACCTATCTATACTTGCCAAAAAAAATCAATAAAACGCTTTAACTGTAATATGACAGAGAAATAAGAGTATTTTTTTGTTAACTATTTTAATATGGTAGTATTTGTTAATGACCATAGTAGAAAACATGAAGTAATCAGATTAAGTCAATGAGCATTTATTGAGCCTTCGTATGTATCAGACACTGTATAGGATGCTGGGGATATAGCAATGAATAAAACAAAAATTTCTTTAATCATGGGACTTACATTTATTTTAGTAGAAAAGACGGAGTTCATAAAGAAGATAATTAAATAAAAGATATAGTGTGCTAGATAGTGAGAAGTGCTCAATGTGGAGAAAACAAAGCTGGGACACAGGATAGGAAGTGCCTCACCTATATATAAAATCATATGGGTATGACTGCTCCTCACACAAAGTGAGAGTTTGTGTAGTTTTGGCATCTCAGGTAGATCTTCGTTGCCATTGGTTATCTGATTTTACAAAATAGTCAATTCATGGGGAAAAGCAGAGTTGCCTCTTTTTGTAGTTCTTGACAATTATGTATATTGAAACCCTAGCACAGTACTTTTATCTGTAAAACTGTGTTATGGTCTAGGTAGGTTTCTTACCCATGTGTCTATCTAGTAGGACATTTGAAAATTGTGACGTGAGACAAATCTTCATTGTTTGGGACTCTTTCTTGCATTGCAGGACATCTAGCATCTCTGGCCCTTCTTCACTAAATACTAGTACTGTTTCTCCCACCAAAACACTGCTAGAAATTTCTAAAGCTCCTGTACGAGTTGGTTCTGTCCCTTTTGCAAACCTCTGACTTAGGGAAAGAGAAGTGGGGGTGGTTCCTTGAAAAAATTTGACATTTAGAGGTCTATTAGAGGAGGATTAGGTGAAGGAAACTGAGATTGTCAGCCAGGGGTAGTAGAAAAATAGGGAAAGTAATGTCTTAGAAGGCAAGAGAGAAAGTTTCTAGAAAGAGGAAGCCCTCAATTGTCAAATGCCATTGAGAAGTCAAATAAGAGGACAGATAAAGGGCTGGATTGGACAATATGAAGGTTGTTAGTGATCCTGACAAGAGGCATGATGAGGATGGAAGCCCATACTGTAGTGGGTTAAAGAGAATTAAAGTACATGGGAAGTGAGGAAGGAGAAGAGGGACGAGTAGGCAGTTGTTTCAAGAAATATGATTATGAAGGGGAGAGAAAAAATAGTGTGGTATTTGAGGAGTATGTAGCTTTTAGTACTTTCTAAAAAATAAGTTAGAAGATACTAGAACATATTTGAGTGCTAATAGGAATAATCTGGCAGAAGGGAAAAATTAATGCAGGAAAAAGGGGATAATGAAAGATTACAATATGATAAAGGGATAAATTATGTCATGTAAATTTTAAGTAATATAAGCTCATAGGAGAGGGAAATAATGAAGCCTAGACTAGTCAAGAGAAATCTTTACACCGGGCCTGGAGGAGGGTAAAATTTCCACAGGTGGAGACAAAAAGGCATTTTGCAGGGGAATAGGATAAACTTGGCAAAAGCAAAAGGAGAGATAGAGCATATATAATTGAAGGGAGGGTTCTTGTTGAATATAAGCAGGAAATAAATCTGGGTAGGTAAGGAGGATACAGATTATAGAGTAGTCTGAAAATTCGGGGAGAAGTCTATATAGCAGAAGCTCTCTTTACCAACTTCCATTAACTGACTCTTTGTAGTACCCAGTGCTCTGCATTCCTTCCATAAGGCATATTCTCGAATACCCTCATATTGTTAGACGACTGTCCAGTGTGCTTGGAGTCTCACATCAGTAGATTGAGTCTCACATCAGTTGATTGATATACT